GTGGGAATGCAAGCTGGTGCAGCCACTCTGGAAAACAGTATGGAGGTTCCTCAAAAAGTTGAAAATAGAGCTACCATACGATCTAGCAGTTGCACTACTGGATATTTACCCCAAAGATACAAATGTAGTGATCTGAAGGGACACATGCACCCCAATGTCCACAGTAGCCAAACTATGGAAAGAGCCTAGATGTCCATCAACAGATGAATGGATAAAGAAGATGTGCTATATATACACACATGGAATATTACGCAGCCATCAAAAAATGAAATCTTGCCATTTGCAATGACGTGGATGGAACTAGGGGGTATTATGCTAAGTGAAATAAATCTGTCAGAGAAAGACAAGTATCATATGATCTCACTGATATGAGGAATTTGAGAAACAAGACAGAGGATCATAGGGGAAGAGAGGGAAAAATGAAGACAAAACAGGAGAGGGAGACAAACCATAAAAGACTCTTAATCTCAGGAAACAAAGTGAGGGTTGCTGGAGTGGAGGGGGGTGAGAGGGATGGGGTGGCTGGGTGATGGTAAGTGCTGTGAATTGTGTAAGACTGATGAATCACAGACCTGTACCCCTGAAACAAATAATACATTATATGTTAATTTAAAAAAATTTTTAAAAAGAGTGTTTAATTTGTCTCTTTTTTCCCCCCTTTTCTCCTTTGTTTTGTTTCTTAAATTCCACATATGAGTGAAATCATATGGTATTTGTCTTTCTCTGACTGACTTATTTCCCTTAGCATTATACTCTCTAGCTCCATCCATGTCTTTGCAAATAGCAAGATTTCATTCTTTTTTATGGCTGAATAATATTCGTGTGTGTGTGTGTGTGTGTGTGTGTGTGTGTATCGCATCTTCTTTTTCCATTCACCAATTGATGGACACTTGGGCTGCATCCATATCTTGGCTATTATAAATAATGCTGTTATAAATATAGGGGTGCATGTATCCCTTTGCATTAGTGGGGTTTTCTTGGGGCGGGGCAGCAAAGCAAGGTTTATTGAGCAATGGTAAAGTGATAGTACAAAGCTCCCGAGGAGGGAGGGGACCCAAGAGGGTTGCCATCGAAGTTTCTAAGTCTAGGGGGTTTTATGGGCTTGTTGGGCTGTTTTAATCTGATTAACCCTCCCTGCACCTGTCATTCAATCAGGTATTTGTCTATCATATGGGAAAGGGTGGAGGACTCCTTCCAGGGTGGTGTAAAATCCTTTTAAGGGTGTCTTCCTCTTAGGGCGGGGGCCCCTTGTCCCTGCCTGCGTGCCTGCCTTCCAATTATCCATCATTCTCCCCTCTGAAGAGGTAACGATAACTGCTGTTAGGGAAGAAGGGCAACGACTGATCATAGCTACTTCTTGCTGGTCAAGGGCGTTGGATGGGGTGGCAGTCAAGGTTCCTATCATCCCAGTCTATCAAGGGGTCCCTTGTCGATGTCTGGTTTGACCTCCATGTGAGCCTCCATCTGAACCACCATTTGGAGTTTGAGGACCTTTATTGGTTAGTTGTCCTTAACAATGGTGGAGATCCCTGACAAGCCCCCATAAATGGTACAGTATTTTTTTCTCCGTCGGTACACATAGTCCTTGGTCATGCCGCTTCGAAGAATGAAGACAGAATGGTGGGCAGCAAAGCAAAGTTTATTGAGCAATAGCAAAGTGATAGTACAAAGCTCCCAAAGAGGGAGGGGACCTGAGAGGGTTGCCCGTGTTTTTGTATTCTTTGAGTAAATACCCAGTAGTGTGATGCTGGATTATAGGATAAATCTATTTTTAACTTTTTGAGAAACCTCCATACTGTTTTCCACAGTGGCTGCACCAGTTTGCATTCCACCAACAGTATAAGAGGGTTCCCCTTTCTCTGCATTCTCACCAACACCTGTTGTTTCCTGAGTTGTTAATTTTAGCCATTCTGACAGGTGTGAGGTGGTATCTCATTGGGGTTTTGATTTGCATTTCCCTGATGATAAGTGATATTGAGCATTTTTCCATGTGTCTGTTAGCCATCTGTATGTCTTCTTTGGAAAAATGTCTGTTCATTTCTTCTGCCCATTTTTTAACTGGATTATTTGGTTTTGGGGTGTTCCATTTTACAAGCTCTTTATATATTTTGGATACTAACCCTTTATCAAATATGTCATTTGCAAATATCTTCTCCCATTCAGTAGATGTCTTTTAGTTCTGTTAATTGTTTCCTTTGCTGTGCATAAGCGTTTTATTTTGATGAAGTCCCAATAGTTTATTTTTGCTTTTGTTTCCCTGCCTCAGGAGACATATCTAGTAAGAAGTTGCTATAGTTGATGTCAA